AACTGAAGATAAAAAACTGCTATAATGATATATTAATTTTTTGTATTCATTTTAGTCTAGGAAGTTATATCCTATCGCACTAACTTCAACATTAAAAGGAGAAAGAAACGCTATCTGTATCAACTTTACTTATATAAGTCGTGAAATTGTATACTTAGCCAGACGCAAGTAATCCTCAGTCCAATCTCATCCTCTAAGTGTAGATTACATTTGAAGAACTCAATATGACTAAGAAAATTCTTGAATGGATCGTATCAATGTCATGCACTTCTTTGATTTTGGTTGCTTTATTGGACTTTTGTCTACTGTCATTGCATGTACGATAGAAGTAAATTTTAGAATTTTCATTTGAAATTTTCTTTGTCTATGGACAGCTCTTATAGCAATTAAAATATCGTAGAAATCACAACTCAAATAGATGTTTTTCACTTCGAGATGCTGAGTTCTGAAGGTGTTCGACTTGCTAATCTTTGCTCGTAGCATACAATCTGTATTTCAATTTTTCAGTGTCTGATGAAGGAAGCATTCGTGTGAGCTGAGACTTCGTATGATATTTCTAATAGACCGAAAAGCTCTTTATGGGCGAAGAGAGTTTCAGATTAAATCTCCTTTACTCGATTGCTGCATAGATATGTTCATACAGGAGAAAATCCATCAAAACAACCAGAACTCAAGAAGAAAAAGATGTTGAGACGACCCATTCAAAAATTTTCGTAATCATATCAATCTCTTCAGACTGATTTATATCGGATTTAAAATAGCGCTTGACATTTGGGATCTCTTCTCATAAGGTACAGTTGTCAATTACTCAGTACTATAATTTAAATACTCTATTTGACTTCTTCAGATATACACACTCGATGATTTTAAAAATAGCATGCTTCAGTGAGTTGAAGGAATCGTCATGCACCTTTCGAGTTTGAATGTAAAAAGAGCAAAAACATTAATCATTGAAAAGTAACAGAATAACTCTTTTTTCTTTCGATAGTTTCAATCAAGAGTACATATGAATCGTGAGATACATTTATTTCCAGTACAATTATACTATATTCTGAAAGTTTCAGTACAACAACCTTCAAAATCATGATTCTTTTTTTCATAGTACAATTCATTAAAGTTCCATATTCAGAACTTAATTTGTAGCTGTGTAATAGACTAAAGACACTTTGTTTTCACACGTCTTCAAGAGATGATAGAAACTATATTACGATCTAGAGATTAACGAGAACAATTAAATAAAAATCCAAGGCATCATTTTTCTCTAGAAATATTTGAATTTATTTTTATGAAGAATATTATAATGTAAATCATTCATAACCATAAATTTATGATTTTTGACACTAACTTCTTTGATTTACTTTTATTTTTGTAAGGCGATGATACAAGATCCATCATCTCATCCTAAATCTTATATAGATAAATGTAATAAAAATTAAAGGACTAGCTATTGTGCCTATAATAAGGGCGCATCTTATCTTCATCTTTTGTTCGCTTAATAGTATGAGGTCAACCGATTACTATTCTTCTAGACGCTGTGACCTCGGTGACCGATTGTATCTGTTTCTTACAATGCTCTCTTCTCATTTCTCTCTGCTATATAAGGTCGTGTTATATGTAAAATGGTCAGAGCTGGAGTGATGAAGTAGTGTAGTAAACATCATACACCAAGGATAGCGGTAACGCTACTCCTCCAGTTTCTCAGTGTTGATCAACAATAAAATAATACTGCAGTAGTAATGAAATAGTCTATCCTTATTTCGTTACAGCTATATGATCACCTTCGCTGGTGGAAACTAGTTAACTGCTTCATGTCTCAAGTTGTCTCTTACATAAACACATACTTACGTAAGAGGGAAAAAATGAAACAGGGAAATAGAGGAGATAATGAAACAGATGAAAAGTAAAATCAAAAAAACTAGAAGAAAAAGTGGTGACTAATGAAAGCACTTATCTAGAAATTATCACACAGAAAATTGATAAAACCCATTTTTAACTTTATTGTCTTTAATCAAACCACACGACTCCTAATTTGTTAATGTAGTGTATAAGTTTCTTTAAGCCAGTCTGAATAAGAGCATATCCTGAAAAACTAACCTTCATCTTATGATCATCATAAATTAGACTCTTCCTAATTTATCGTATAATTTTTAAGAATTTGTTGAGAATAAATGTATAATTTATAAGTCATATAAAGCTAATTTTTTACTGGCATACTAGAGAGCCAACAGATTTTAAGTTATGGATGAAGAGAACAAAGTCAGAATAAATTTACAGTTTTAAATATATGATCGTTGTCTAACAGGTTTATCAAGGCGCTAAAAAATAGGGATGCAAATTTACGTAAACATTGAGCAAGTTCGTTCCATGAAATTCCAAATGTTTTCTATGCATCACAAACAAATGATGATTAAAATGTTCAAGTTTTAGTTCCAGTTGCACATTCCTTTTTTATTTGTTAGTAGTATCTTTCTCGCTATCAGAAATATATTCAGTTGATAATAAAAGAAAGTTTTGATCTAAATTTCATTTCTTGAGCAAGTCACAATAGAAGTTGACCCTTGTTTGACTAGATTGAAAATCACGAACCATGACGATTAGATCTATATCATGATAACTTCAAACAACACAAGAAAATTATTAGGAATACATGTCCGTTAAATTATCTTTAACTAGAGAGAAGACTTTTATTGTATTAATGACATCAAGTTACTTTGCAATATTAGAATAAGTCTTTTTTTCTAGTATTGAATGGAAAAATTATGTGTCTGACAAAGTTTGTGATAACGCTCTGCAGAAAGTTATCATTTTTCGAAAGAAATTCTTCTATAGGAATAGTATCAAAATCAAATGTTATTTATCCACGCTAACTACTCAATTACCTAATTTCAAGTACACGGTGAAAAACAACTAATATAATTCTTTCATCTAGTATTGAGTGACCCTGTAGGACTTAATATTACCAAATATTTGGTGCTTTCTCATCCTTTTTTATTGGGATTAGTGATTAAGTGAAACCACATAAAATTTGTTTTAGTCAACCTGTATTAACAATTTGTATAAAGGGAGCATCATCATCAAGTACTTCTTGAAAAGAGATGAAAAACATCACTCTTAGATAGACGCTGAAAAGCAAAAATCACGAACATCCGTAGATGAATTATGGACATCGACTTCAGCTTTGTTTAGAGATTTTTCGAATAGCTTCGCAGTCTGAGAAACTATTATTAAACTGTCATACTGCTAACCAATGCTACAGTTATTATTAGCTATGTATCTACTGTAGTTACTATAAAAAAGTAACTAAGTAAATATGTAGTTACTTAGTTACTAGTAACTAAGTAAATACATAGTTACTATTTACCAGTAAATAAGTAACTATTTTAGTTACTTTACTTTAGTAAAGTAAATAAAAAGTAAAGTAAATATCCCACCGCTACAACGAATTAAACCAAACGTTCAGCAAATTACAACAATACTCGATTAACATCAATAATTTAGGATAACTAACATCTCTGCTTCTGAAAAGAGGTACGCGTCTTGAATGAAGTAATTCTGAGAGCAGTTCCTTCAATCTTACCATAGTGATCAATCGAGTATTGCATTCTGATCTCAATAATGCGAATTCCACCTATAAGCGAATTTTTCCTTTTGAGAAGCCAAATGTTGAACAACATTAATCTTATCGAATTCTCATCTTTTAACAAATCGACATTACTATATCTATACTGTCTATACTATTTGATTTTTTCTTTTCTATGCTGTCTATCGAATACAATACTGCCCCTGTAGTCCGCTTGTTTATTCTGTTCACATAGAATGTTATCAAGCTGTGGTTAATTTGCTATTTTTTGATATACAATATCAAAGATTACAGTTTAATATAGAAGATTGGAGTTCATAAAAATGGAATCTTCATTGAAACTGACCAATGGGAAATATTGAAAATAATAACTGATATTTATAATTTAATAGCAACAACATCATGGCAGAACAATGTGAACGACACATTCTAATCGATTATTAGCAATTTAATAAACAAAAATCGCGTAGACGTGATTCTTTTCATTTATCGTCATCGTGAACATCTACGATATTTCTTTAATCAGTCGAGTAATTGTCGGACTATCGTCGATAAGATAACAGAAAGTCAAATAGGACGACAATTATTCAAAACATTTATGAATGAGAAATCATTGGAAACTTCGATTACAGGAAAAGATTTGGTATAGATTATTATCGTTTCTCGTTCATCAATTAGATGAAAATGGAAATGATCCTCTACTTCATATTTGTCTAAAAGTTTGTGATTATCGACATTGAATAGTAGAATTTCTAATCACAATCAAATTTGACCTTCAAAAAAAATATTTCAACGACGAAAACTTCCCCAATGAAATACAACTGGAGAGAAATCAAGAACTATTGAAAAAGTTAAATGTAGAAGAATTCATCAAAATCAATGATAGACAGATGAAAAGAGAAAGTATCGAATTTATAGAAAAATGAAAATAATTTGTAATGTGTAAATGATTTTCAAATGAAAAAGAACAAACTGATCCTATCTCTACACGAAAAAGACAAACTCAATCTGATAATCTCGACTTCTGAGAGAACTATTTAAAATTTTTTCTTTACTCGTATACAATATTAGTTTTATATCATTCTTCTGAAAATATTGGATCAAAAAACAATTGTCGTGATTAAAATATGAAAATTTACTTGATGTACAGTTCAAATGAGCATCAACTTATTTGTATGGTGAGGGATGCTGTACTACATATTATCAGGAAAATCTTTGTATAGATATGTTTGTGATATGTGATATCTCTTCAGTGTATTTGTGTTATAAATGATTAACAAGTTTCATCTTTCGGTCATTTTTCTCATCTTTAAGGTATTTCAGAATTCGATCAAAGAGCTTTAGCGAGTTTTTGGGTCATGTTTCGATAGACTAGTTCAAAATTTACACTTGTATCACAAGTGTTGTCAATTGATAGATGTTAAATATCTTCTCTAAAACATCAATAATAAAAAGAAATCAAAAAATATTTTATACAAAATTTTGTTTCAAGATCGAAATTATTGAGTAAAACATCAATATAATAGAATTCTTTAAGGGGCGAGCAAACGAAGATGCATCCAACAGATCTCAGAATAGAATCTTCATCACTGGTTCCCATTGATCAATTTTTGAAAAAATTGATCTCAACTCCAGATTTATCACCTTTTATTGGGCAGTTTTTAATATGGACTTTCACAATGAGTTAACAAGTTTATTAACATCTCCATTCCTTTATATATACAATGAAAACATGATTTGTAAAAAAAAAAAAAAAAATTGACATCAACTAAATCGGGCACTTTGGCTATTTTCACAAGATGTTTTCTTATATCATCCAAAATAGAAATCTTCAAAAAATAAAGAAAAAAATGAGAATGGATTCTTTACAGAAGAAATTTCAAGTTTTATAATATATGTATAATGTCGTAGAACTTGAGGGAGTAGAAAAAAAACAGGAATTAACAATAAAAAACTAGAGCTCGCACTTCAATCGATTGTCTAGACGGACCATCTTTTGCACTTTGATCATCGTAAAAAGCAGTGTGAGGTGTCAAACCGGCCACATCGCTCAACAACGTCTTGTCCACTTGAGCTGCGCTCGTTTTTACCATTGAGAGAGCACGACTGGCACTATCATAGCATTTTAAGAGCATCACCTCGTCCGGTGTCATCTTTGACCAGTAATACCATCGATGTTGAGGATTGTGAACCAGAGAATAGGTTTCTCCATTTGGCAGCGGAGGTGGATAGACGAGTGTTGTTGGAATAAGATCATTGAGCACATGGATACTACGAAAATCGGCTACAGCAAGTGGATAATCGTATACAGGGTTCTTCAATGGTCGCCATACATTGATCACTTGAAAACGCTTCCATAGAACGTTGGATGCATGTCGTGTTACTCGTTTATGAGCACTAATAGGCGTTTGATCGGCATGCACACGTAATACAGGCTGGCGCTTTGATGGAGAATCGGACAATTGACCTGGTCTCATTTTACGTATGGTATGATCAAAGAAAATAATGTGATTGGCGCCTGTGACATGTTTAAGCAATTGTTCGACCTCAGCATAATATATTTCTTTTACTTGTTTCTCTGTTCCATTGAGAATGAGCTCGGCATCGACTTTACTTGGTGAATAAAGAGCTTGGAAGCCGGTGATGTCTATGTGCGTATCCGATTCGTGACTACGAATATCGTGTATAATGGTTTGAACAGGTTCATATTCAAAATTCTTTTCACGTTGTCCATTACTCGAGTCATTGATGTTGACAAACCAATGTTCACATACATTGTTCGAAGGCAGAGCCTTGCCGTAGACTAAAGAAGCATTTATATCACGATTGGTATTGGAGTGACTGTTGAATGTCATTTTTTTGGCTGTGTTAATTGTTAGAGATCTATATCTTTTATAAGATGTTCTATGTAAGCATGACGCAGCAATTTGTATGCATAACCGTGCGGCCGAGATCTTGTTCATGTGGATCAGTGACATAATGTATATTTTGATCACACGCCAACTACGTCGCCCGATGTCAGAATGAATTATTAAAAAATTGTATATTCCTTTGTTCGAAGATGGAGCGGTGATGATGATAATAATAGTAAATAATATTCTAAAATAAGTGAACAAATCTGTACACATACAATCATTTTCTCTTTATCGTTTTTATTTACCTTTTTACTTCACCGTATTCTAAACTGGTGGTGATACTTAAGAAGAATAGAATGTACTGCTACAGAAGATGCACCGTCTATTAATGAATATATCCAAAACATGCATGGCGTATTATGACAATGAGAAGAAAAATAAATAGTTGGCTTATATGATCAACCATCGAACAAGGGAGAGAAATAGATGGCGTAGTCAGTCAACAGAGCAATTATTTTTTGTTTCTTTTCATTCTTTTACCTTCAGATAAATACAATTAATTATGAAAAGATCTTGGAAATGCTAAACAAGTTGATAAATGAAATAGCTACATTGTCTATAAAAATACGTAATTATGGCAGAAAGATATATCAAACATCATAATGACTTATGCACTACATTCTGCTGTTGATGGTCTTACACACTCAGACAAGATCCCTAAAATAACGCATTAACATTTTGCTAAAACGCTACTTTTACAAATCTTTTAGAGTTCAAAAATAGACAGGCATTTAAATGCGGAATGATCAATAGAGAGAACACATTCATAGATGATGGAACCCTTCAACTTGGGAAAAATTTTATTTTCAACAGACGCGTTGTGAAAGGTTTCTAAAAATAACTATCAAAAAATTTCTGTTGACTCACTCTAATAGGTTCTAATAACTGAAAGAGAAGATGTATAAAAGACTTCTACTTCAGATTATTTTGGAATTAACAAAAATGTTTGATATTATACTTATTTTGTATTTATGTTCGCACAGAAGACTAATCAAAACATGAATTAATTTTATTTCAGTCTATGAAACATACATGTAGTGTTATGTAAGCTCTTTAATAGAGTTTTCAAAAAAAACAGTTAAGACAAACTTGAAACAGATGTACCTGATTGAAGCCTAAGCCTTATAACTTGGCAGATAGGTTTAGTGAGAAGATCATATATCAGCCATTCCAAAACGAATTTTTTTACCAAAATTGGAGTAAAGATAGCTGCGATATTGAGATTTTGAACGAGGGATTGCGCAAAAATAAAATGCCAACAGGACTGAAATATATTAATCACAATTTGAACATAGTGTTCGAGTCATAACTTCAATACATGTTGACCAATGAAGGATACATTGGTGCTTGTGATCATGGTTCTCATTGCCCAACGTACATCCAAAATATTAGGGTGTGGGTGTATGGTGTGGGTATGGATGTGGATGTGGGGTGTGGGTGTGGGTGTGGGTGTGGGTGTTGGTGTGGGTGTGGGTGTGGGTGTGGGTGTGGGTGTGGGCGTGGGTGTGAGTGCGGGTGTGGGTGTGGGCGTGGGTGTGGGTGAGTGGTGTGGGTGTGGGCGTGGGTGCGGGTGGGCGTATGGCGGTGTGTGGGTGTGGGTGTGGGTGTGTGAGCGTGTGGGTGGGAGTGGGTGTGGGTGTTGCCATCTGCTACACTCCCTCACCCACACCCAGACGCGCTGCCACATCCCATCCACACCCGCATCCCACCCACACCCACACCTACACTCACACCCACACACCCACACCCACACCGACACCCACACCCACACACCCACACCCACACACCCACACCACACCCACACCCACACACCCACACCCACACCCTTGAAGCAACATAATAAATACAAGTTTTCAATTTAATTTATATTTATTTTAAATGTAAATTCCGAAAGTTCAAATTTATTTTAAATATAAATTTTTTGGTATAACAAAAATTTATATTTATTTTAAGTGTAAATTTTCGAAATTTACATTTATTTTAAATGTAAATTCCGAAAATTTAGATTTATCTTGATTGTAAATTTTCGGTATAATAAAAACTTACATTTTCTTTTAAGTTTTATTTGGAAAATTTAAGCTTATTGGAAGTATAAATTTTGTTATAGCAAAACTTTACATTTATTTTAAATCGAAATTTTGAAAAAATTTATTTTCGGATTTAATAAATTAGCGTAAATGCAGATGGGCCACCCTTAGTCGTAAGTAGCTTGGGATCCTCTTATAAACACACCATATAAGATTTATCTGCGATAACGAATTCGATCTTAATACTAGATTGTAAAATGGAAGTCTTTCTTGCTGTTGACTGTTATAACTTTCTACTAATTTGGGATTGAATTCAATACAGTTATTATCTATTCCAAATTGTCCTGATGATGACCCTTAAGCAGGGTCGAAACGATCGTCGTAAGTAGCTTGGAATCCTCTTATAAACACATCCTACACCGACACCCACCCACACCCTTTCGACTTTTTCTTATTTTATTTTATCGAGCAGGCAGCTAATAATAATTTCTGAATAATCCATTGAAAAAGACACAATAAAACTCAGCTTTGGCAGAAAACGCTTTGTTTTACACCGTAGTGGAATTCACACAGCTAATAATTTCGTTTCTTTTGGTTCATCCAAAATCTTCTTCATCAATAATTACAAATCTACTTTGTTGTTCTCATTGTTTTTTAAATAATATTTCACAGTTCTATGAATGGTGTTAATATGCAACCAAACGTCACTTGAGTCAGTTTTGATCACAGTATAAATATTTTATATTTGCCTATAAAAGATATCGCTTGTACATTAAAAACTAAAAACTGATTCTACCTGTCACGTTTTCGTTAATTATACGATATTAGCGTTTTTCTAATATTACTGCTAAGTCACCCTTCCTGATTCCCCAACAGTAATGAAATTAGAAAATAGTTTCCTTTTTCTCCTCCGTGTCGTTATGCCTGCAGTTGTAAGCCGACTGGTCGATCGACAGTGGTTGTAAAAAATAATTTTGCTCATGCTCACGGCGGTGGCGGTGGCGGTAGCTAAAACCTTCAAAAGTGTTTCATAATAACGGCGGCCGCTCAGTCTTACGACTTACGCCTCTACTGATTCAGAGTATATTCCGACACTCTGAGAAAAACTAAAAAGTTTTTCTTATTATAATTTCTTTTTTTTATTTAATTCTCTTGATACTTATAGCAATGAGATTCAGTCGTCAAATTATTTACTTTTCTTTGCTGTTTTAAATTATTTATCCTCATAGTTGCGCGCCACCGTGCAGGCAATCGGAATCGGTTGGTCCGATTTAGCTTTTGTTTGTCGTCATTTATTTATGTTCGTAATGATCATTAATTTATCGGAAAAAGGAATTTAGTTTACTTTGCTGTTCTCCATTCGATTGCATCAATAATTTAACTATTTTTTTAAACAGAGAAACGGAGAAAGCTAGCTCAGTTTGCTTCGTCTTTATTTTTTTTATTCGCATAGCTGCCGAATATTTTAAAGAAGCAACAGGATGAAAAACTGCTTTCTTTCTCTTTTTCTCAGTTGGTTATTCCAAGTATTACTTGTCATTTTTCTGAGAAAAAACTAAAAAGTGAGTTTTGTTTAATGCTTCTCTATCATCCATCATTGTGTTATTCTAAAAATGGATCCACATTTTATAAAAAGAACAATCGAATAACTTAGCTTCTTCTTTTTTTCTAATAATTAGGCCCTTCCTTTGTCCTCTTCGTTTTCTTACATCAATACTTTAAATATTTTTCATCAGAGAAACTGAGAAATTTATTTTATTTCTCTTTTATTTTACTTATTCAGATATTTGTCGGAGATTTCATAGAAGGAACGGACTGCAAAAAAAACCACTTTCCCTTTCTGTTCTACATTCTGCTGTTTCAAATATTGCTCGGCATTCGTCAGTGAAAAGGGTGTGGGCGTGGGTGTGAGTGTGGGTGTGGATGTGGATGTGGGTGTGGGTGTAGGTGTGGGTGTGAGTGTGGATGTGGATGTGGGTGTAGGTGTGGGTGTGGATGTGGATGTGGGTGTGGGTGGGTATTCATGCGTTACACCCACACCGGCCAACGCCCACACGACAGAGCTCGTACAAGTACAACTACAGCAAGTGAAAATATTTTACATGTACTTGAAAAAATGTACTTGTACTTCTACTTGTACTTGAAAACAAGTACTTTATTTTGTACTTGCCTTTTGTACATGTATACTTGCCTCTGTACTTGTGCTTAAAAATATGTACTTTGTACTTGTACTTGTCTTTGAACAAGTACATTTGCCCCGGTACTTGTACTTTAAAAAATGTACAAGTACTTTTACTTGTACTTTAAAAGTTGCACTGATCACACCGTCCTCCAGAATAGAAGACCACTCCATATTAGAACCTCCCACCCCTGCATAATGGAAGACCCTCATGGAGAAAAGGTCGTCGGCCGTAATAGAAGACATCCCCAATTAATTAATTTTTTGCTAATTAGGAACTTTAATTAGTATTTTTCCGTCAAAGTATGCCTAATTTTCAGGATTTTGAACTGGAAATATTAAGAAAGCGAGTTCAACATTATATCTACACTCTGAAAATCTTGAAAATCCTGATGAAAATCCTAAAAGTTGTCTTGGATTTCTGGAAAACCTTTTAAGTTAAATATTGGAGAAAAACTTAGACTTAACAAAAGAGCCCCCTTGAAAATTTTTACGATGGGACATAGTAGAAGACTCGAAGTGTTCTATTATGAGCGAGTGAGTTTATAAGTAGCGAGAAAATAATACTTTTTCAAAGTAAAAGTAGAAGTAGAAGTATAAATACAAATACAAGTACTAATACTCAGTACTTTCTTCAAGTACAAGTACAAGTACTTATCAAGTGTACATGGTACTTTTACTTTTACTTTAAAAAGTACAAGTAAAAATACTTGCGTCCGAGCTCTGCCACACCC